TTAAAAATATCATAAGCCTTGACAGGAAATTGGAAAATCCACTTCTGAGCCAGCTGATGAGGCGGGAAGGTATCGCCAAGCTCTTGTTAAGACACTTCATGCAGCAACGATCAAATTTCCAGATGTCGCTCCATCCATTGTTCCAGGTTCCTTTTTCAAACTTTTTTCATCAGCTTGTCTAAATTATGCTTATAGCCGGAAGTTTTTGAAATGATCACTTGATCTTTGTTTTGGCACAATTTCAATGGTGCTTTTAGTTCTTATGGAGTTCCTTTCTGATGAGAATGAAGTTGCTGCCCAGTACGTGCTGTTGTTTGTACGCGAAGCTGTACACAAACTTCCACATTTGAAAGAGACTATACTTCATTCCTTGCAGGTAGGTCTAGCATACTAATTTCAGTCACTGCATTTATCATTTTATCATTTTTTTTCTTATCGACTTTATCATCTGTCGCTCAGTAACAGTCTAATTCTTTGTTTCACTGTGAAATTTTCTGTGATCCCTTTTCGTCAAAGAATAATGTAGACATATTTTATAATCATTATAGGAAGGACTTCCATCTATTAGAAAGCCAAAAGTGTTTATGGCCGCTCTTTGGATTCTTGGGACATACTGTGAGAATGACGCAGCTGTGCTTTCTGTCCTTCGCCTTGTCAAATCGTCCCTTGGTGAACTGCCGCTTGTTGAAAGTGAAATGCGTATGATGGAAGGGGAAGAACCTGCGCAAGAAGAGATGACTGATAAGAAGGTCTCTTCTAAAGATTGGAGCTTGAATTCTTACCCAAGCTGCGATATTTTAGACAACTACCAAGCAATTAGTCACTGCAGATGGCACTTATGCGACACAGTCTGCTCTTTCAGTATCCAGCAAGACTACTAACAAGGAGAAACCTCCGCTCAGGTTTGTCCGTTCTTCCTTTTGTTGTAAAAATTAGTTTTTAAGCGCAGAAGATAGATGATAGCTTACTGATTACTGCTGCAACACTTCATGTTCCGTTTGTTGACTGTGCAGTCGCCGTTGAAGTTATACAGGTCAACTAAT